GATCAATATGATATCTAATAAAATTATAACAATAATATAATTACATTCAGTGAACATAAATACTAACCTTAATTGTTACGATAAATTTTAAAAGATATTGTTAACAATGTAATTTCGCTACGATAAACTTTGAAGAATATTGTTAACTGTCGAAGGATATCGATGACAGTGCAATGTCAATTAAAATTGCTGTGATAAACTTCGAAGGATATTGTTGACAGTACAATGTCGATTAAAATTGCTGCGATAAACTTCAAAGGATATCGTTGACAGTGCAATGTTAATTGAAAATCGCAGCGATATAAATGCAAGTGATGACCATCGAAACGATATATTATAAATATCTAACATAAACGAAGGTTGTCGATATAAAATTACTACGAAAATGATAATATTTGCAAAATTTCGTATATGAAGATATCAAAATTGATAACCTTCAAAGGTTATTGATACGAATTTACTATGAAAATGATAATATTCGTAAAATTTCACATATGAAAATATCAAAATTGATAATCTTCGAAGGTTATTGATATGAATTTACTATGAAAATGATAATATTCGTAAAGTTTCGTCACGTGAAAATGTTAAAATCGATAACCTTCAAAAGTTAGTGAAGACCTTCAAAGGATAATATATCGAAAAACAGCGAAATACTTACGTTAACATTAACTTTTGAAAGTTTTCACTAAAAAAAATTTCCTGATGTTATATAAGATTAACTCAGATTTTATTAAGAATTACGTAACAAATTAACAAATTAAAGATTTAGTGGGAATATTTAATACGATATAACTTTATTAATAAATATAATAATAAATATAATGATAAAATATAATATAAAAATAGAAATTATAAAAGTAAAGGTAAATATTAAAAAAGTAAATTATATATTAATTAGAAGAAATAACTCTTTTCAGATTTTTTAAACTATTGAGAACTATAAAACTTCTGAACTCCCCCTTCTCAGGTCAGGGAAGACTTATATTTATATTCCTTTAATTTGCTGCACGCAACGATTTACCAAATTAATAATTTACCAATTTTAGCAAGAGGTAATTAACCTGGTGATCTACCTGTTACGTGCAACAGGTAATTTACCTAGGTAATTTATCTGGTAGTCAACCTGATGAGCCATCTGTTACATGATTTTTGATTAACATAAATTACAAATAAATAATAAATATATTAAATAATAATATAATAAAAATAAATAAAATTAATATTTTACAACATTTCTTCTTTAGTATTTTTTCCCGGAAAATACTTCATATTTTGAGAAAGTTGTTCTCTACATTTTTGAATAAAATAATCAAAGTCTACACTAGTTAAATGATATAACTAATTAAGAGTAATATATCTAAATTGAGAAATGAAAAATTCTCCAAGCACAGACAATAATCTCTGCACTCTATTTGTAACAGTTAAGAATCACGTACTATTTTGACTGGTTATTTGTTGAACTTCTTGTCTCAATTGTTTCATAGTTAATTGTTGCTCAACAAAATCTTTTAATAATAATAATCAGGATTTAGAGTATACAAAGAGTTATTGTCCATTTGTTTTTGCAGTATCAATGGCAACACTTACAAGAGATAAAATATCTTCTTTATAGTATAATTCGAGTCAAGGTCAACTTCAGCATTATATGCATCATCAATATATCTATTGAAATTTTGAGGTTGTGTTTGTCGATAGTGAGTAGGAATTGTTAGAGAGGTTTGTTGAGAACTACTTTGTACAATAATTCGTATAAAGGTCATTTGTATATTAACAGAAGTGTAATCTAATTGTAAACTTTAGTAAAGTTCTAATAATCTAGTACATTGAATTTCTGAAAGTTGAAGTTTCATGATTTGTAAAATTTTGCAGAACTTGAGAAAAATAAGATCCTTTATATAATAAATTTTGTGTTTAGGTATTTAATTAAACTTTGACTAATTTGAGATAATTATTACGCAAAGTTTTACAAAATATCTTTGTTTATAATATTTTAATTTCTCTGCATGAACAGGATTAGATAATGTATTACCAATTTTATCTCTTATCAGGTAAGGATAGGAATTGTGATTACGGACTCGTGATTAATCGCGAGTCAACTATATATTCGAGTCAAATTTTTGGCAAACAATTAATTGCGATTTTCATAATCGTTGAAAATTGCCAATTAAATCATGATTTTATAATTGCCAATTAAATCACGATTTTATAATCACCAATTAAATCATGATTTTCATAATATATATAATTTTAAAAAAAATTTTTCTTTTACAAACCATGAGTAATAACGAACCATACGTATATATAAAACCTTTAGAAAAGGTTCCTGCCATCGAAACAGTTGAAAAAAAATGTCACTACAAAAAAAAAGAGGAAGAAGGGGTAGGAGGAAAAAATTATGAAGTATATAGAAAAAGAGAAGGAGAAGTGATAGGAAAAAAAAGTGTTAAAGGAGGGAAGCTAAGAAATGAGAGGGACGAGAGGGACAAGAGGTATGAGAGGAATGAGAGGGACGAGAGGAATGAGAGGGACGAGAGGGACGAGAGGGACGAAAGGGGTGAGAGGAGTGAGAGAGATGAGATGGAAAAGAGGGATAAGATGAAAGAAAATAGAGAAAATGTTAATTCTGAAATTGCCAACGCTGAAATCACTGAAATCACCAGAATCACAGTTGCAAAAAAGGAAAGGGAGAAGTAAGAAAGGAGAAGAATGAAAGAGGGTAAAGGGATAAGAGGGAAAGAACATAAAAAAGAAGTGAAGAAGAGAAGGAAAAAAAGGGAAAGGGAAATTGTCAAAATTGTTGATGTCAAAATCGTTGAAATTATTATCGGAAAAAGGGAAAGGGAGAAGTGAGAAAGGAGAAGAGTGAAAGAATAGGAAGAAGTATTGAAAAGGAGAAGGAAAAAAAAAAAAGGGAAAACTCTGAAATTGTTAATGTTGAAATTATTAAAATCGCCATTGCCGAAATCGCCGTTACCACCATTGTCACCAGTAATCCTTAATTTTCTCAAGAACTACCTGATAGAGTGACTTAACGGTTCTTTTAAGGAGTTTATAATCTTTTCCCAAAGGTAAGACTGTTATTCCATTATTTTTAGAAGGCACCACTGATTCAATTATTTTAGAAAGGGAATCAGACCTTTCA